CACCACCACCACCATTAGCCTTGCAGAGCTGGCAATTGAAAGTCAGCGAAGGATGGGCCTTGGTGACGTGACGGGAAAGGTCGCTCATGCGACGGTAGCTGCGATCGCACTCGAAGCAGCCGAAGGACGGTTTCGCCAAAAAGGTGGTCACCACCACTACTGCCTCCTTCTCTTCTTCCTCCGTCTTCTCTGGACTGGGCGGTGGCGTCAACGACTCTGGTGACTTGCTTGTTGTTGTTGTTGTCTCCATGACCAGCTGAGGAAGAGCAGTACTCTCTGAAATGGTGGAACTTGAGATGAGCTCTTGCTGCAGGTGCTGCTGTTGTTGCTGCTGCTGCTGAAGTGGAAACTCTCCACTTGCCGAAGATGGCTGTCCGCCGATCTTTACCGGTTCCTGCATCAGCAGGTCATCACCAACGAAGATATTGTCCATTCCGAGAAAGGGATCATCAAAGGAAAAGGGATCATCATAGTCCATCATCGACATCATCGACGGCGGAAACATTTCCAAATCAGTGGAGCCACTTGAGGAGGCGGAGTACAGCGATCGCATCTNAAAGGAAAAGGGATCATCATAGTCCATCATCGACATCATCGACGGCGGAAACATTTCCAAATCAGTGGAGCCACTTGAGGAGGCGGAGTACAGCGATCGCATCTCGCCGCCCATCGAGTCAAAGAGGTAGTCCATTTCGGTGTCGTCGAACATCGGCTTCAGCGGGGAGATCTGTTCGCTCAGTGAAGCTTTGCCGCCGCCATTGCTGCTGCTGCTGTGCGGAGGAGACAAAGTCCTGCCGCTGAACATTGGATCGTGGCGGAGAATGTGACGGCCTAGCATCTTTGCTCCAAGAAAGGAGTCCATCTTCTTCGGTGTGTTCTACTTTTCGAAGTGATGGTGATGATGAGACGGAATCTTCTGATGATGAAATCGGTCCGTTTCTAAAACAACCTCACACACACACAACTTGCGTCACGCAAACACTCTTTTCAACTGCGTCCCGCCCACAGATGACATTCCGCTTTTGGCGCGAAGCGATTCAATCAGCTTACACGCTGCAGCTTGTTCAGCTGCCGCCGCTTTACACTGTGATGACATTTGTGGCAGACAATGCGACATTGCATTGCATTGTCTTCAAGATTCTCGATACGGTTGATACTGTGTTTCCTGAGCACCATTTGTACCACTTACCTCCAGAGATGATTGGTGATAATTGCAGCAACGGTATGTAAATACAGGCTCACTTAAAAAACTGTTGATCCATCTTCTCATCCCTCTTAATCCAACACAGGTTACCAGGGGAACTCACCTGTTTCCTGATCACTGTTTTGCAGACACACCAATTGTTCCCCAAGAAGAGGCAGCCATGTACAGCGGCGCTCCACCAGCACCGGTCTACTATCATCAGTTGATGTTGGCAGAATGGAAACCAATGGTAACAGTCGATCAGCAGCAGCAGCAGCACTTGTTGCTGCATACCAGCGCCCGTGTTGACACGCACTTCAAGCAGCAGCAGCCGCAGCATTGTCCAGGTCTTTGGCAAACTATTTTCAGCCCATTTGAAGACAGTCATCGCCGAAGTGTGTATCCCATCACTATGACATCACTACCATCCTGTGTACATCATCATCGTAAGCTACTCGGGCGAACCTAACACCTCGATTGGTAGTGGTACTTCAGGTGGTGTCACCTTTCCATCCGGTGCCCATTACCCTCACAACCGACGCCGTCATCGATTGCATCCCCTCCTTCTCCACTGATATCATCATCATCACCATCATCATCAGCCGATTACCATACCAATTAGTAATTCAATTCAACTCAAGAGAGCAGCCGCCACCACCAAAGAGGAGGAACGCAGAGAGTGAGAAAGAGACATTGCGTTCATTCCAGCCAAAGTAGATCACCGCTGGCTAGTAGAGACATTTGTAAACAACAACAGCCAAAAACATTGGCAAAAAAAATCATTCCACCACTGATCATCATCAGTGCTCCTCATCAGTATTTAGTAGTAGTTATCATCATCAACACCATCAACAACAATGGCTCAAATGAGCGGTGCCAAGGAGGTTCAGCCCACTAAAATGGGGCACACCACCACCACCTCAGCCTCGACCTTGGACCGGTGTCAGTCCCGCTTCCGCCTCCTCCTGCGCATCATCATCACGCTGCTCTGCGTGGCCGTCTGCAGCTACCAGCTGTACATCGTCTCGATGCTGTACTTCAAGTACCCCACCACGGTGGACATTCGCCTCGACCCCTCGCCCACCGTCCACCTGCCCGGCGTCACCGTCTGCAGCGAGCTCTCCAGTACCATCCTCGTCGAGGAGCTGGTCAAGATTCAGCCCGCACTGTACAAGGTCTTTGCGGGCAAGACCCGCACGGAGATCTCCCTGCTCCTGAAGAAGGCCAGCCTCCGCGAGCTGCTGGTCACCTCGCTGCAGTCTCTCCCCCTCGACCAGCAGCACAACATGACGGTGAGCAGTGCGCTCTTCTTCCGCGGCTGCCAGGTGCCGACGCCCCTGGGGAGGATAGCGAAGAACACCAAGGGCCACCGACTGGCGAGTCGCTTCAACGAGCAGCTGTACTCGCAGTGGAGCAGCCTACAGAGCTACGACATGATCAACTGCGAGGAGTTCAGTCCCGTGGTGGAAACCATCAGCCACGATTTTAAGTGCTTCACCCTCTTCCACAGTGTCACCTCGCTGAAGAAGGGCGGCGACTCCAACTACCAGATTCCCAAGGACGTGGTGGGCAATCTCAAGTACCTCGCCTACATCACGCTCAATCGGGACTTTATGTTCAACGGACTCGTCTACATTCATCCGCCCGACTGTAAGTAGTGTTTTCCGTTTGAAAACTCGCGTACCGAGTTGTTTACCAGCAGTTTTCAATGGTAGGCCTGCCAGAAAGCTAGATTGACGCTACAATGTGGCCGACGGTGTCGCCATCTCTCGGTACTAGTGGCGAAGCTGTAGTTCCAAAAGTCACCAAGTGCAACTGGTGGCGCTAAATACGCGTCACGTACTCTGCGAGTGGTCCTAGTGTTTATGCCAGTCTGACAGGCCTGCCATTGAAAACTGCTGGTCTTGAGTCTGCAATACTAAACAAAGCTTTCCTCCTCCCTCCCACCAGTGTCTCACCAGTTCGCCTCCACCTCGAACATTCAACAGCTGGAGCCGGACAAGTTCAGCTTCGTCTCGGTGGCCTTTGAGCGGACGGTGCTGCAGCTGCTGCCGGCGCCCTACGAGACGAACTGCCACGACTACCGCGTGGACGGCTTCGCCTGCCGGGACGACTGCATGACCGACTGCAAGACGCGCCGCTACCTGAAGCTGGACGGCTGGCCAGGGGACGTCTTCGCCAACCGGTCGGTCACCTCGCGGCTCTCCAAGGTGTGGAGCAACACGTGGAGCAGCGTCGGCCACATGGAGGAGGGCATGAACGCCGAGTCGCTGGCCACCTGCAGCTTCGAGTGCGGCCACTGGGACGACTGCGACAGCGTCCAGTACGACGTGAGGACGGTGCGGGTGAAGGAGCGCGACGAGGACGACGCCCTCAACAGCCACCGATTCACCGTGGGCGTCCTCCCGCCGAAGAACGTGCAGATGATCAACCGACACGTGCCCAAGTACGAGCCGATTGAGTTTCTCATCTACGCCGGCGGCCTGGTCAGCCTGTACACCGGAATCAGCGCCATCTCACTTGGCTTCACCGTCATGAGTCTGCTCACCTTCACCAACAAGTACCAGACCTATGTGCTCTGCTGTGGACGAGGAGGTGGTAGAAGAGGGGGTGATCGAGCGAGACAGCCCCGCATGACGACCATGGCAGCCAGCGAAGAGGATCACCAGAACTACGACCTGGAGAACAACCTCATCAGCGAGAAGGAGCTGCTGAAGAGGACGCAGGAGAGGAATGTGGCCAATGCGGCGGCGGCGGCCGCCGCGGCTGCCTCACGCATCAAAGACAGTCGACTGTAGGAGTGTGACTTAGGTTTTTTCTTTTCTTTAGCTGATTTATCCAATTACAGACTTTGTCGCTCAATACTGAATACTCTCCTTTTCTTTTCTTTGAGGATGCCTAGCTCCTCACCATGCGAAGGATAAAGAGAAAGAGGTTGACAATATCGAGGTAGAGCATCAGCGCGCCGAAGATGTAGTCCTCCTCGGAGAGCTCGAAGCGGCGGCCGCCCATGATCAGCTGCGTGTCGATGGCCAGGTAGAGCATCATGAGGAGGGCGCCGGCGCCGCCGTACAGCACCTGACTCGCCCGGTCGTGGTAGGGGATCAGGAAGAAGCCGGTGAAGGTGATCACAATGCCGCAGATGAAGGCGATCCAAATGAGCTTCGTAAAGTCGAACTTGGTCCAGCAGCTGAAGAGGCTGACCACTAGCGTCGCGCCGCAGGTGGCCACCGCCGCGATCAGCACCGCCGACATGTCGGAGAAGGCGCAAATGGTCCCCACCATGATCGACATGGCCACCGTCTGAAACGAAGTTAAAACGGGAGTTTAGAAATGGGAAAAGGTGGGTGTGCTGTGCTGAGAAAGCCAGTGGTACCAGTGAGAAGAGGAGGACGTAGTTCCAGGGAACGGTGCGCTGCAGTGATCGACAGCAGATGATGGTGATGCCGATGACGAGGTACACGACCATCGCCGTGACCAGTGGCCAAATGTTGTTCTGGATGTACACTTTGATGCCCTCTCTGCCAAAGAATAAGGTTAGATGATCATCAAAACATGAAGATGTAATGAAAGGCACAAAGACTTACACGAACATGAAGAGGGCACAGATGGCCACGGTGACCAGGAACTGCGCCGCGAGGATGGCGTACACCTTCTGCACGAATCGCTGGCGAATGGCCTTGTTCGAGAAGCAGTTGGCCACCTCATTCGGAGGCAGGCCGGCCTCGGCCTGGGAGAGGTTGTTGCTCATTGCTTCGTCGAGGCTGTCTTCAAGGAAAGGCTGTTTGAAAAGGAAAGGGAAATGAAGATTTGTTTTGCTGGAGCAGACAAACTATCACAGGTAGGCTGCACTTGTTGAGTGTGTGTGTGTGCTTTCCCTCTTCAACGTTGAAGATAGAAACTCCCAAAATGGTTTTGGTCAGCCTTTTTACCTGTTTTTTTAAAAACGGCTGTGATTTTGTGTTTTGTTGTGACTCAGCTGTTGTTGGCTGTTGCTGGTCTTTCAGAGTCGCACAGAGTCCTCGTCGATTGCCCTCTCCGCGTAATAAAACTGGCGGTGCTTTACGCAAAAAGGAGTTGAGCTGCCTCTTATCAACAACTGGAGCTGATTACCATGGAAGCGGATGAGTAATGTTGCAGTGGGGTTGGGTAATCAAGGATGCAGCTTTTGTGTGCCTCTCTGTGTGGGTGAGCTGTTGCCAGACGACCCGCTTCAGTACTTTAAACCATTTTCCTGATAAACCATCTCTCGCTTGGTTTGAGCAACTGAAGGACCAAAGGATCTTTTTGAAGATCTTGTTGTTGATCTCTTCAAAACTTTTCGGAAACTTCTGCTCTCTTTCTTATGAGCACAGAGTTTCCGGGATGTTTCCTTAACCTAGGATTTAGCGGTCTGATCCAGGGATCCTGGATCTCGGGAACGGCTGAAGCTAGAGTATTGAGACTCCTAGCGTTTACTCAGCTATTTTTTCTGATTCTTTTGGTGAAAACAGTTTTTCTCTATCATGCCCCATGGCCGAGATATCATCTTACGCCTACTTCTTGAGTTTCGGACACTAGCCTGTTCGAGAGGTTGTCTAGGACAACTCACCGAAAAGGGGCAAATATCCGAAAATGCATTGTTTTTCTGGGCGGAGCTTGTTGCTTCTGCCTGGATCTGGAGAGTCCACTTTGGAGCCAGTTTTCATCCTTGTACAGCGTTGATTTTTACCGAGTTTTGTTTTAAACAGCTTTATTACATCTTTAGTTTTCATTTGGTGTTCTGAAATCTTAAGGTTAATATGCAGATTGCTTGAAAATTCAGATGCGCGAGCAATTATTTACGCTGCTGCTGACCCGAATCAGCTGCTGTTGGTTCCGCCTCCTTTTGACGCAGCGGCTCACGCGCGGGCCACTTTGCCTCTCCGGCACTTCTGCACTTCACCAGCAAAAGCGCGCCCAAATTCTCGGACAAAGAAGATTCCTCCGAAGATCATCACCCCCATCATTCATCTCCATTACCGGCCAAGTATCCCATTGTGTTAATTTGTTTTCTAGCATGTGCTAACTTTCTTTTCCTTTCTTTCAGCCGCACTCACATCGATTCAGTTTGCCTGTTTGTTGAGCAGCTGTTGCGTCCACCATTTAGGCGCCTTTTTGTGAACACGCTTTCGAAACTCGGCTTCTAATTTGGGTCCTCCTGGTCATCTGCCTGCTACAAGCAAGGATCGTCTTCAAGGATTGCTCACAAATACCACCATCATCATCACCACGACTGTTATCAAAGAGAACACACACACAACTGGGGAGATGGGTAAGTGCGCTGATCTTTATTTGATTACCAGGATTTCTAAGCATTGTTGTTTGTGTAGCTAGCTGTTTGTTGTGAGTTAGTTATCGATAAATCTGCGTATGTGCTATCTGTGTGAGAGAGTTATGACTGGAGTTTGCTTAGCTCGTTAATGTTTGTACAGATAATGCTGTTCTTATTCTGTGTGAGTGTTTGTGTGTGTGTGTTATTCTGAGATGACCTTCTTCTCTTCAGCTCCTCTTTGCCTTCCTTCCTTCCTTCCTTCCCAGCTCATCTGCTTCTATTTTCAGTACTCTGAAACATTGAGCGAGTGCATCAGATTCTTGAAGCCTCGCTGCGTCACCGGCTGCCCACCGGGCGAGTGGTGGCCGGTCACGGGCGAGTACTTTGGAGAGTGGCCTGTGTAGAACAGTAAATAGTTAGTGCATTTCGCTGTGCAGCTGTCCCCCTTTCCCACTTACGTCTATTGTCCTGCTCCTCCTGCAGAAACTGATAGGTGGGCGACTGGGAGATGTCCACCTGCAGTGGCGGCTGAAGGTGGCTGTTCTGCGACACACCGCCCACCTTGGCGTTGAAGTGCGGCGGCTGCGGGCTACCCGAGTGACTGGCGGCGCTGTACGGCGAGGGACCTCGGTTTCTAGAAAGCAGAACAGAGTTTATGATTGTTTTGTAGATCTAGAACAAAATGAACACCTACGGGTTGAGAGTGTTCTGGACGTTCTCGCTGCTGTAGAGATTGATCGGCGAGTTGTACTGCAGGTGCACCAGATTGTTGTTCGGCTCCGGACTGCTTCCACTCGGCAGCTAAGGAGGAGGTGGTGGTGATGATAATTTGACATGTCCAGACAGAGAGGGGTTAGCAAAGAAGCGAGCAAGCAATCTCTCTGTTCTATTCTACTCTATTCTAGTTTCTAGTTGTTCTAGTTTGTCCTACCTGCGTGTACTGACTGAGGACCTTCATCTTGGCGGGCTCGGGAACGGTTACCGTCTTGGGCAGCGTGTGCCATCCAGGGCCCTCCATGTGGCGCAGGTAGCACCCGGTGGGCCAGTCTCGGCGCACCTTCGGCTTCGCCTCGATCAGCGGGGTGCTCCGGTAGGTCTAGTGATGGTTGTTAGTGAATGAGTGAGTGAGTGTTCTATTTACCTGTTTGGTGATGGCCCACTGCTCCCTCGCCTTCTCATTGTGGAACTCGATGATGTTATTCTCCGGTATCTTCACGCCGCTGTCCATCATCGCCACCGCGGGAATGCGCCCGGTAGTGCTCAGGCCGCTGCCCGGTCGGCTGTACGGCTCGGGGGAGGATTTGTACATTACTGTTAAGAGAGGATGGAAGTTGTTAGGAGTAATTGGTACTAAAGGTTTTCCATTCTGATTACTTCTCTTCTTGACTCGATTGAAGGGCTCTCTGAGAACCTGCAGCTCAATGGAGGCGGTGGCGCGGCTGATGAGGCTGACCGCGAGTGAGTAGGTCAGTGGGCGGCCGGTGATGGGCGAGTTGTCGACGCCGAGGACGATGTCGCCGGGCAGGAGGCCTCCGCAGTATGCCGGACTCTGAGGGAGGACCTGAGGTTGTGGACGGAAGAGTTGTTCAGTAGCTGAGTTAGCAAAGAGCAAGTGCAGCGAGTCAATCAAACGAATCACCACCAGCAAACTGAACAGTTGTGCTGCTCAAGTGAACTAGTCTTACTCCTTTCCTCCACTCTCTCTCACCAGTGATCTATCTCTTTCTCAAGGGTATCACAGTGCTGTTTACTGCTACTGCCTCTCTTCCACCTCACTGTGACTGTCAACAAGGAGAGCACTTCTTTCTTTTCTTTTCTTTCCTTCCCTTTCTCACTCTTTCAGCCTCTGTGAGAATGAATGAATGTCACCCGAGGGAATATGAGGTGGGAGTGGTGGTGGCAGCAGCAGCAGCAAACAACTACAGCTGTACGCTGTTTCTCTCTATTTTAAAATGCGCTGCCTCGCCCTCCTTCCAGCAGGCATTCAGAGCAAAGCAAAGAAGTAAAGGATTGCGATTGTCGATGTTGTCTGTGGCAGAAGCAGAATTCTTTCTGCGCATCAGCCTCATTGCCACATTCTTCCCTTCTCGGTGGCCGTACACGTACCACCACCATCACCACCATCAGTTCAGCACTAAAGTTCAGCTCGAGGCAGGAGAATCCTTTCCTTCCTCTCTCTCTCTCTCTCGATTCTGCTCTAACCCTGCTCTGCATTCTCTCATTCGCAGAAGTAGTGCGTGCAAGACAGACATCGACGTGTGCCGACCTTGTCTCACTCTTTCTCTCTGATGGTGATGATTCCGTTGCTAAGAATAGGAGAGGCTGTTTGTGCGAAAGGGTTTGATGTGCTATATAGCGATTCCCTGCAACCAGTTGACATCGCTTACAGCTAACAAACGATTTAAAGGAAAACAGAGACGGAGAAGAATTCTCGATTTATCTGCACCAGTTTCTGTCTGTTTGTGATATATGTTTTATTTTAATCTATAGATTGTGTCAGCAGTTATTAGTGAACTGGGGCTAGAACTAGAACGGCCTAGAAAGCAATTGGCTCTTTTCCGCAATTTCGTATTTGTGTTTTAGTTTGCAGTTTTTTAACTTAGTAGTAAAATACTTGTTCTTCTCACAGGATGCTAAATTGCCCGAATATTATTGCTCAGAGAGCAGAATTCAATTCCGCATGTCGCGACATGTTTTGTTTATGTGCTGATTTGCACTTTTAATGAGCAGCACTACTACAACTGCTGCTCTTTTTTATAGCTCACATTAAGCTCACTCTAGCCTGACAAAACACACACTTACAATGCTTTCTTTAGAGTGACACAAGGCTGTTTGCAGTAAGAACTGAGTTTTTTTCAGTACGTGACTTACATTCTGGACGACCAGTGGGCGATCGAGCCGAGGGTGATCACCCTCGACCAGCGTGAAGCCCCAGGGTGTGTCGGTGGACTTGCGCGACACCGTGATGAACAGTGTCTTCGTGGCGGACATCATCTTGGCGGGCTTTCCTTTCCAATGATGGTTGTCGTCGTACACAATTCACAGCTCACCGTACACTGTACAAAGCAGACCTTCTTCTGCTCGTCGAGGGCACACAATAGCGGCACTGATCGTCATTGATGGTCGACTCTGAACTGTGAATTTCGAAGTGGTCCTTCTCCTCCTCCTCTGAGTTTGCCACTACCATTTTCCCCTTTCTCTCACAGTTTGACCAAACTCTTTCAATCAGCGAGCACCGAGCTGGCTGAGAATCAATTGCCTCCCCTCATTTTGTTTCTCCACCCTTTTCACTTTTCACTGCCACTTCCAATTCAGTTCAGTTCTATTACTCTCTCTCTCTCTCATTTTCTAAAATTTGCTGCTATACAGTCCACGACGGCGGCGGCGGCGGCTATTGATGAGGCAGTTGAGTTGAGCTGTTGTACATTGTGCGCTGATGCACCACACCATCTGCTGCTGCTGTTTACATTAGCCAATTTGGGCGGCAGCATTCTTCTTCTTCTTTAGACTATGGCAAAAAACAATTTTCACTAAGCATTCAGTGCTGTCTGTCTGTGTGTTTGGTAGAATCGGAAATCAGTGAGACTCGATGTGCGCAATGCACACTACTGTTGATTGATTTGCCTGCTATTGCCTCATTTGAAAATGACACTGTTTGAAAGTGATTCTTTCCGGAACAATTCGGTAATTCGGTGTCAGTCTCAGTAAGACAACTATGAATGCAGACTAGTAGATGGCAGTTGATGCTCAAACTGTTGATCCTCATATTTTGTAGACTAATTTCTCTTGTTGTACAGCTTTGTTTCAAACTGGAGCTAAATTGAGCATCCACACACTCCAGTTAATGCCTGAGTTGGCATTGAAAAGAAGAAGAAGAAGAAAAGGGCAAGAGGTTGCCAAGAATGCGTCAGTGCAGCTCTTCAGCTATAGCTAAACTGTACTACTGCTCTGTACCTAAACCTCAGAAAGCCGAAAGCTGCGAAGCGAAGCGCAACAGGCAAACACTGATTTTGCTTTTCTGCTGAAACCGTAGAAGATTCCGGAACTGTGTTTGTGCTTGCGGTGGTGATCACCATGGCAGATGGCGTAATTTAGGCAATCTCACTTGGACACTCGCACACAAAGACATCTTCTGAGGGAGCAGAAAAGAGTGCTCAAAGAAAGTGAAGAGAAAAGAGGGGAAAATCAAAGAAAAAGAAAATTGGCAGTAAATTGAGGACGACTCTGTCTGCGATGTGTGTGTGTTTTGTCACAGCACTTCAGTGCCCGCGTCGTACAATGACACCTTTCTGCCTGCCAAACTTGGGGACTGAAGGAGTGAACTGGGAATGCTCAAAGAAGTGCTGATTGTGCCTGAAAGTACTGTCTACTGTGTAATCCTACTTTCTTCTTCCTCATGAGTTTTATTGGTTTCCAAAACTAATGAGACTTTCTTAGAGAGTCCTTTAATTAGGCAAAGACAGTAGCAGCCTACTTTGGAGTCGGTGGTTTGATTAGTTTCATAGTAATTGATGCTCAATGGAGCAATTTATTCGAGGTCATCTAATGTTGCTGTACAGTGCAGTGCAGCAGTACTCTCTACACTGCCGCCTACCTGCTCTATCTCGCTCTCTTGCACACGAGTTTCCAACCGAAGCAGCCAAGAAGTCGTAGGTGTTTGTGCCTTTTTTTTTATAAAACTGCACACACATAACTTCACTAAAATAGACATCATCATCATTAGAATAGAGTCAGTCACTCGGTTTGCCACTGCGTTCCGGCAGCTTTGAATGTTTTGAAGCTGAACAGTGCACCAGCAACACTGCGCACTGTCTTCTGGGGCGCTTCTTTGTTTGTCGGTTGCTTTCAGCTAATTATATTACTATCTTGGCTCACCGACTACTTTTGCCACTGCTGGCACTATTTACAGCATCACCCTAAACATTGCCGCCACCCTTGACCTTTTTTGCCTTCTGCCTGGCTTGGGCATGCTTGCGATGTCCAAACAACAGTGCAAAAGCACATTGCCAAAATTCGTTTCCTGCCAACAAAAGTGAGAGTGTGTGTATGTTTACCTGACTGCTCTCTACAGCTACTTTGGAAAAAGAGATAGGTGTCAAAATGAGCACATGTCAGTGGCGATGTGAGCAGATGTGCCGCTCCTGATCCTTTCACTTGCTGCTGCTGCTCACTGTGCTCTCTTCTGTTTACATTTGATCATCATTTCCCTTTACCTTCCTCTTTAATTGACTTCATCATCATCATCATCTCCTTCTTCTTCTTCTTCATCTCTTCCCCACAGGCCACTCAACTCCTTGAATCGCAATCGGAATCCTACTTTTGGCCTCTCCCCTGGCGCTGCTTTGAATGTCTGCCAATTTGCCGCTAATTGCGCTACTCGGCTTGGAAAGCAAGCGAGTTCTGGAGTACTCCGGCAGCCAAGTCAGCATCTTTGAGCTCATCTCCTTCATTAGCAGCAGCAGCAGCAGTTTCTCCACTGGAATAGAGCTGCCAAGTGCTGGTAAGTACTGAACCAACTGTTCAAGTGATGAAGATTGTCGTTTAATTTGAGAGCCAAAAGTGCTTCTGCGGTAGTACTGTACATCTCAATCTGTGGTGGTATTGTGAAAAGAGAGCTCTACCCTAATGTGCTCAAGGAATTGTGCAAATCAAAGTAGGCTGCAGATGCTGTTCTCTGCAAGAATATTCAGTTCGACGACTTTGCGGCATCAGCAGCAGCAGCAGTTCTCTCTCTCCGAAGTTGAGCATCTGTGTGACTCTCCTCGGGTGCTACTGCTGCTGTTTGTATTGAGGTCAATTGCTTCTGTCAGAGTGAGAACTCTGCAGACTCCATTGTCCGCCTGTTGTATGTTGCTGCCGGCTGCCTGAAGTGAATCCACTGAATCGGCATCATTCACTCCTTCTTCACCTCGATGCGTCAGTCACTCAGTGAAATTGTCTGTGGTGTCTCCCCTTTCACTCTCCTCCTCAATCACCGACATATTTCCCGGCAGACATTACCCGAATCCTCCTCCTCCTCTGCTCAGTGTCTGCTAATCTCGATCACCTAATCTCTCTTTCTTCCTCTACGACTACACTGTCTTCATCTTCATCCTCTTCATCCTCATCAGTTATGAATACCGATCTCACATGTCGCGTCATCCTGGTGATGGTGACTATACTTCTCATCGTGGCGCTCGTTCTCTGGTACACGGCGCGCCAACAGGCCCAACAGCAGCAATAGATAGCCTCGATGGAGTAGTGTGTAGATGATGCTTAAGAAGCAGATGAATCCTCAAATTCTTCAGCTCAACTCAGCTCAGCTCTCTC